CTAAAGATAATATATAAATGTGTGTATGTATGTATATATGTATACATATATGGAATTGTGAAATATATTGGTATTATTTAATTAAAAGATAATCTCAGTTGTATAGTTAGCAACAATAAGGAGGATAAAAAAAGTATTCCTTATCATAACATTACTTTATTAAGGAAATCACTGAGGCACAAAAACATTAAGTGACTTGCGTGAGGTAATGAGGGAAAAGGACAGAAAAAAGAGCATTGTTTAACCTATCTATCTGTATACATTTTTCACAATTAGCTCAGTAAAACAAATAGAAAAATTAGATGCTGTTCTCAGAAATGTTTATTTAAATGAAATTGTTGCTATTAATAATCCAACCTTTAAGAATCAGTGTTTTATCACACATTGTTAGGAATTTTCAAAATATTCTCATTTTCTGCTTTATTAGGGATATAATGAGCTATTTGACACAATCTGGTGCAAAACCAAAATTAAACTATAAAACATTGAACAAGTTCCATGAAAGATATTAACACGATTTAAAAAAAAAATACTATAGAACCTACAAAATTTAGAAGACAGTTAATACAGAACCAAACATTTAAATACAGTTATACTCAATTCACATTCTAGCTAAACTTTTTTTATGAATGCATACTAATAATGCACTCATAATGTTTCCTGGTATTCTTTGATATGTATCAATCAAAGCTTGAATACCATTCTTTGTCTTTTCAGCTAATTCCTCTGCTGTCACCTTTGGATCACATAGAATGCAATTGCCTAAATATGTCTGTAACTTCACTGGAAAACCTCCATACATTGGAGCAAATGGATAACAACATTTTTCATAAAGCCATCTAAATAACCTTGTTCCTCCAAGTGATCGAAATCCTTCTTGAATACTTTGTGTATACCACAAGTATGATGGACACTTTTCCATCAGTTGCCACCCGAGTGAAACCTCTATGGTTACCCCAAGTAATGTTGTAGGTTTCATCACTAATTTGATCAACTTCCACCTGGTGAAATAGCTAGCAAGTGACCACTTTGTAAGGATTTCGACACATTTTTTTCTTGGTCCATGTACAGCACAAAATACATCAAGTAACAAGCTAAACCCTTTATGAACAAAAATTTTAGCCATGTAGTACAGTAGAAAAGGGGTTCTTGTCCTTGTGTGTTACTGTTCTTTTTTCTCTTCTAACGTGGGTGGGTGGCCCTGGGCCTTAGAGAAAGGGCCTTAGAGTAAGGGTAAATAAGGGTGGAGCCTGCTCCAGGCAGTAGCTTAAAATCCTTTAGGGACCTCGGGCCTGCAGCCCTCAGGCCTGCCTTTACTTGTTTCCTTTTTATTTTTTTTTTAACTTGTTTTCATATATGTTTTGATGAATTTATTAATATGAAAGTATAAGATTTTGAAAGACATTTAAGGGAGACTTAGCAAAACAATGGATTTACTTGTTACTATCTTTTGCTTGCATTACATGTATGACTCAACGGCACATAACAACAACAACAGCATTAACAGCAATGTACCCAAAGTATGTGAGGTGAAGTTTTGTCATCATTGCCTCCAAGGAGCACTCTGGTTGCACCTTCTCCAAGACATATCTGTTTGTTCTTTTGGCAGTCCATGGGATATTTAGTACTCTTCTCTAACACCACATTCTTCTAATGTCATCCTCATTTATAGTTGTTGTGAACTTGAAGTTATGTATTTAAGATATGTAAACCTATCTCATATTTTAAAATAACTGAGGAAGACATTGTATTGCTTAGAGCAGCAAGAAACGCTCCTTATTTGACTAACGCCTTTATGCACTTTGCCAAAATGCCGATTTCAACTTTGTTATTGTTGAGCACTGCAGAGTGGGGACCGACCCATAGCTGACCCTCCAGCAGGATTTTAGAGGCAGTAAATGGCATGAGAGGAGACTGCCCATCTTTCTCCCTCAGAGCAGCTGGTGGTTCAAACTGGGTATCTTTGTTGGCAGCCTGATTCCTTACCGCTTAGTCACTAGATCTCTTCATCAAATCTGCAGAGTGATCAATCTTTATTCGAGAAGACAGTCCATCTTTCTTCTACTGAGCAGTAGGTTACTTTGAACTTCTTAAAAAATGATGATTTTAATGGAAGTTTACAGAAAAGTTTTCTTTTTTCATTCATTCATTGTTGCACATTTTCCTACCCCCGCTTCCCACTCAGTCCACTTTGCTGTGCACCTCTTATTCTGGATTATTGTCATACAAAGAATGCCTAATCATATATTCCTTTTAAATAGTTCTTCCATTCATCTATTTCAATGCAGTGTTCATTATTTATCCCCTCTTTTCTTAGTTTCCCCTAACCCCCATGTCAGCTCTGTTTTGTAACAGTGGTATAGTGCAGTATTTGTCCTTTTGGGACTGAGATATTTCACTAAGCATTATTTCCTCCAGGGTCACCCATGTTGTGTAATACTTTTTTTTAGTTCCTTGTTTTTAAGTGCTGCGTAGCATAGTTTTCCCATCCATTTATTTGTTGATGGGCACTTGAGTTGCATCCATCTCTTTGCTATTGTGAATAATACAGAAATAAACAAGGGTATTGCATATATGTTGCGAGGCTGGCAGCTCTGCTTTCTTCAGGGTACGTTTATAGTAGTGGAATTGCTGGGTCAAATGGAAATCATAGTTCCAACTTTTTGAGAAAGTGCCATACGGCCTTCGATGGTGGTTGCATCATTTTACTCTCTCCTCAGCAGTGCATAAGGTTTCCAATCCCACCACAACCTCACTACCATTTGTTGTTTGCTGTTTTGAACTTTTGACTTTTTTGTTAATAGCACGACAATGAAACACCTTTCTTTCAGGCTCAATCTATTGCCACTGAGTTGATTTTGAGTCATAGTGACTCTCTTTGTTGGGTTTCCAAGGCTGTAAAAAATAATGTGAGGAGGTTTTCCATCTGTCTTCTCTAGAGCTGCTGGTAAATTCAAACTGTTGCAGCTGGGTGGCCTATGAGCTAGTCGCATGACTCAGTTAACTTGAGAAAAAGCAGATTTTTCTGAATCATTATGGTTCATTTTAACTTACATGGATTAATACTGAAATTTATTTGGAATATTGGCTTAAAGTTGTCTATCAGCAGCATGCTTGAATGACCTTTCCTTTCCCTGTTGTTTTTACATGCTGTTGAGTTGGAACTGATTCTTAACTGACTCTTCAGCAGGTTTTCAGAAGCAGTAAATTGCACCAGAGGAGATGGTCTAATAGTGTCTAGAAACATGATTTTCTAAAGAGTTGGAATAATGTTGCAAAACAGAAAGGATTAGTCATGTTTTAAGAAGTCTGAACAATGCATTCCTCAGATTTTTTTTTCAAGATTATTTGCAACTAATAACTTTGAGGGAGATCTTGGTGGAGTAGTCCCACATGCAGCTGGGCTGTTAATTCAAAGGCTTTGCGTCTCTGACATTTGGAAACTATCAGAGATTTCAAGGAAGAAAGATGACAATCTCCTCCCCTTTGATTTACAGCCTTAGAAATCACAGTGGAGGGTAAATTGTAAGCCAATCCTGACTCTATGGGCAATGCATTTTTTTTTAGTTTAATGTTAATGTATTTTTTTTTCTTGAACTTCTACCTTCAATCAGGAGATCTGGTTGTCTATCCCTAAGAGGCTGCACTGAAATCCCAAAGACAGGCAGCCTTTGAATCCACCAGCTGCTCCTCGGAAGAAGTATAGGCAAGTTCCTCTCATTTGATTAACTGCCTCTGAAAACCCACTTGGAGGGTCAGCTGTGGGATAGTTCCAACTTGACGGTGCACAGCAACGACAACCCTCAAACAGACGATGTGTTAATTTCTGAGTGTTCTCACACTGATTTATACACTCTTGGACTGATTTGTAGTCACTGAGAAAATCATTCATGACACATAGATGCTTTTTTTTTTCTGGAGCAGTCTGCTTATCAGAGAGGGCTGACCTGCCACAAGCACAACACAGCTTCCTGGGAGGGGAAGAAAGTCCTTTGCTCTGACCTCAGCTGCAAAGTAAGAATGTCTTTTCTAGAAACAGACTTCTCACCCTGAAAGTTAGACTGCTTCCAACAAGGTGGTTGCTTTTGTTTTCTTTCTGTTTCTTCAGTTTAGTAGCTTTACAGATGGAGGAAGGTATGTTAGTTGCCTGGTTTGGAGCTCCTGCGGGAGGACCACTGTGCTCTGGAGCCTCTAGGGACCAACTTTCTCAGTCTTTACAGCCAGGAGAAGCTCACAAAGTACTGGATGCAGGGGAGGTCCTGAAATCCACACTTCCCTTAATGGAGGCCAGCACTTCCCCTGCCCTGGGGGAGGCCTAAACTGTCAGAAGCAGCTGACTTTGCTTCATCCCAAAGAGAGTTTGAGATGTATAGGGGGCCCAACGGAAACAACAATAACTAAGAAACCACTCTAAATAAAAGTGCCTTCTCTGATGAACAGAAATTTGCTACTGGTCATATTTGACAAGAGACCTCTGGGAAAAGTTCTTCCAAACATTGAGCAACAGTGACTGCCTGCCTCCCTTTCTGGGCTTAACTAAAATTTGCAGAGTTCACTTGGAAGTTGAGCAAACAGAAGGTGTCAGCAAGGTCTGTAAAATGGAGAAGAGGCAGTCTATCCATGAGACCTGCAATTCTGCCTTTCCTCTGGGAAGCAAGATGAGAGGTGCATTATGCTTATGTGCCAAGTGGAACAGTCTCAGAGCTAAGCAGATCACATGTTACTCTCTTGTTCGTTAAAAATTTGAATTTTAACCAGGTTTCTTTGTTGAAAATGAAGGCGCTAGGGCCCTGCAGTGAGATGATGCCTTTGTTGTGTGACCACAGAGGCTGGTTACGCACTAATTTCCTCTAGGGCTTGTGATGAAGTCAGTAAACCACAACCTTCAGCATGCTGTGCTCAGGCAGCAGCAGTGGCTTCTTGGTGGTGTCTGGGCCATGACACACATCTGACATGCCCACCTTCAGCCTTCTCATAGATTGTCTCTCTTGCTCTGCAGCATGGACCAAAGACAAATTCTGCAAAAGTTCCTGCATGAGGTCCAAGATAAGAAAATGAAGAAAGATAAGTTTGCCAATGAATTTTTGGTAAGTTAATATAATGTTCTCAGGGGAGTTACATAGATTGCTTAATGACTCTAATGTGCCACCTCTCCTAGACTGAATGGCTCTTATGAGAAAATATACATCAGACCTTGGAGGAGGGAGAAGGCAAGAAAGGCAATCTAAATGTTTTCCTTTCCTGAAGAGTTTGTATATACGCACTGACTTTGATGTTTGCTGTTTCTTGGAACTTAATTAGGAATTCCACAGAAGACACACACAGTTCCAGTTGTATAAATACAATAATAGTAGTAACTGAACATCCAAAGCTCCTCAGATATCTGCATTTTGGAGAATGCTTCAAATTACTAATTTTATTTTATGTCAAAAGGAATGAAAATAAGGCTAACTTTACACTGTTCAGTGACCATTGCTGGCCTCCCTTGGGGATTCCATTTGGATAACACGGATTTTTTTTTTAAGCACAAAAATTACCTACTACCACATTTCCTTTTTTTGGTGTAAAATATTTTAGTACATTTGTTTCTTCTATAACAAAGTTTCTTACTTCCTTTTCCTATGAAAGACTAGGGTGGAGAGTAAGAACAAGTGAAGGGAACTGAGAGGAACACTGAGTATGAAGCGGACTAGGGTCAGCAGGGTTTGCTTACCCAGAGGAACATTGCATCTCCTCTGAGGGAACTGTGGCTGATGCGGTGATCAGCTGTGTTGACTCTGCAACAGAGTGCATCGGTTCACATGCGGCAACTCAGAGTACCTATCCCTTTTTTTTTTTTAATACTTGGAGCTGGTGTTTCAGAGCTTTAATAACTTCATATCTTAGCTCTTTAGTTGTGGAGAAGTAGGGAACTGATATCCAAAACCTGGGATTAAATCATAACTTTACTGCCAACTAAATTCTAACTATTGGAAAAGTTTTTTAATCTCTCCAGGCCTCTATTTTCTAATTTAGAAAATGGAGACAATACTTTACGCTCTCTCTATCCTTGTAGGATTATTGTGATGACTAGATATAAATAATAACAAAAGGTAGTCACTTATTCAACAATATTTATAGAGTACCTACCAGGTACTAAGCATAGTGCTAGGTATTAAGGACCCCGGGAAGACCAAATCCACTGCTACAGAATTGACTTGGACTCCTACCATCAGGTTCCTAAGGCTGTATAAGTCTGGAAGCAGAATGTCCATCTTTCTCCCACAGAGTAGCTGATGGATGGATTTGAACTGCCAATCTTTTGGTTATCATCACACACCACTTCATGAGAATTCCTTATTAAGAATACAGTAGTAAAAAAAAAAAAAAGAAAAGAAACCAACAAAACAATCCAACATCTTTCTGTCATAGATTAGTGCTCTGGCACATGGTTTTCAAACTCAAATCTCACTGCCATAAAGTCAAATCCAACTCATAGTGACCCTCTATCAGGTTTCTGAGACTATAAATCTTAACACGAGGAAGCCTGCTCATTTTCTTTCTGCTGGAGATTCAAAGCCTTTAGATTAGCAGCACAGCACACCACGGATTATACTGCCAGAGCTCCTTCTGTTACACAGAGTAATGTGAAAACACTGAGTGATTCGTTATAGTGATTGAGTAATTACATGTTATGATAGAGAGTAATTTAACTCAGTTATCATAGTAGCATGAAAAAATGCCAATGAACAGGCAATCTGAACCCCTCTGGGTTATGTTTCAAGAAAGGAAAATAAGGAGGACATTCTAGCTCGTATATCTTTTCATAAATGTGTCTGTCTCTGACTTATAAGACAAATTCACTCAAGAGAGAGATTTAAAAACAAAAATAAATAAAGTGAGGGACAGCCTCTTTGATTTTGGTTGTGTTTTTAAAAATACTATAAAATGTATCCCTTATAGGGATTCTGGTGGCTTGGTCTGTAGAGAGTTGTACTGCTAATCTTTAAGGTCTGTCTCTCTGGTGGTTCAAATACATCAACAGCTTGTGCAGAGAAATAGAAAAAGATAGAGATAGATAGAGAGAGAGAGAGAGAAAAAAGATTGATATGGAAGAGAGACTTGGAAATCTGGTAGAAGGCCAGCCAGTAGTTGGTTTGGACTCAATGGCAATGAGTTTGAAGGTTTTTGTTATTTTTTTTTTAAGTCTCTAATATTTTACCTTTTCTTATCTGAGGTTGTTATAATCTCTCACCCAGTTTGTGGCAGCTACCTCCTTAGAAGTTTCTCTATCTCTCCAGCTTTGTTCCACTTCAATTTTCCATTCAACCCTCAAGTGATTTTTTTTTAAACAGTACAATTCTGGTCATTTTTCCCCCTGCTTGAAAACCTATAATTTGTCTTTTTGGTCCCATTTAAAACTATGAAATATAGTAATACATTTGGAAAAGAACATAAAATAAATACAGTATGTTAGCTAATTAGATAGTAAATCCCAATGCACTATCATTCAAACCAAGAAATAGACTACGTTCAAATCTTAGAAGACATAATGTACATCTCTACATATAAATATGTATCTCCCTTTTCCGTCAGACCCCCACTCCCACTCTGCCCTGCCTAGGGGGGATTCACTATCCTGACTTTTATATTAATCATTTCCTTGCTTTTCTAACTTCTGATCTTAACCTTATTTTGGGTGGTGATTAAGTGGAACCTAACTGTTCATTGACTCATGTCCTCCAGTGGAAAAACAGAGCTCGCTCTTAGCTCCACCTAAAATTTCATTATCAGATATAAGAAGGTGAGGCTTTAGAGCAGTGGAAGAGTGCTGAATGGGGATGGCAAGGTAAATACGGCCATTAAACTGGAGAGTTTTCCATCTAGTCATATTACCACATCCCACTTTAATCTCTTAAATACAGATATATCTAATTTTATTACACTTTAATGTATTTTGCAGATAATGGTTTTTTTCACAAATTAAAGGTTTCAAATGAGACTATTGCATGCATTCGCTTCACATTTCTGTGCTACCTCTTGGCAATTCTCACAATATTTCAAACTTTTTCATAAGGCCATTGAACTCTTAATAGATTACAGAATAATGTAAACATAACTTTCATATGCACTTAGAAAACCAAAACACTTTATAGTGATTTCTGCTTCAATACACTGGGGTGGAACTGAGCCTCAAATATCTCCGAGATATGATGGTATAACACCCTTGTATCACTTAATGTCCATGATACACTCTGTGAAATTAGACATTATATGACTTGGACCTTGTGTGAACTCCATCTGATATATGGGCAGTCTCTGGGTAACAAATTATTTCCATTGTGCTCGCTTTGGCAGCACATATACTAAAATTGGAACGATACAGAGAAGATTAGCATGGCCCCTGCGCAAGGATAACACAAATTCGTGAAGCGTTCCATATTTTTTTTAAAAAAATTATTTCCATTGCTAAGTTTTCCTTTAAGTAAAATTTGTGCATAAGTCAGGTTAGGTTAGGTATGGCTTGTATCTAATGTCAATTAGTCAAATGTTTGCCTTGTTGCTGTTATGTATTGTCGAGTCAATTATAACTTACAGTGATGCATTAACAACAGATCTGAACTTTGCTCTTCCCTATGCCATCCTCACCACCTCTGAGGTATTTGAGCTCATCATTACAATATCAATTCATCTTGTTGAAAGTATTAGTCTCTTCCTCTCACTTTTGACCTTTCCCAGCTTGATGTCTTTTTTCAAAGACTGGCCTTTCCTGATAACATGCTCAAAGTATGGGGTGAAGTTTCACCACACTTGCCTCTAAGGAGCACTCTGGTCGCACCTTCTTCAAGATGGACTTGTTTGTTTTTTGACAGTCGTTGGGTATTCAGGGTTCTTTGTCAGCACCACAACTCAAAGATATCAATTCGTCTTTGGTTTTCTTTACTCATTGTCCAACTTTCAGATGCATAGGAAGCAATTGAAAAGACCATGTCTTTGATCAGGTTCATCTTTGTTCTTAAAACTGATGGTCTTGTTCTTTAGCACTTTGGAGAAGTCCTTCAGAGCTGATTTTCTCAGTGGAAAGCTTCTTTGATTTCTTTACTGCTGTTAACATGGTTGTAGATTGTGGAACCAAGTAAATAGAAATTGTGTACAAACTCAGTAGTATATAGTGTGCTTTTCGTTGTCGTTGTTATGTGCCATCAAGTCACCTGTGACTCATAGCGACCCTATGCACGGCAGCTCTGAACCTTGCCCTAATTCTGACACACCAACCCCCATTGCCGCAGTTACTGTATCGATCCATCTCATCGGGTTCTTCCTCTCTTGTACTGTCCCTCCACCCTTCTGAGCATGATGTCCTTCTCCAAGGACCTGTCCCTCCTGGCCTTGTGCCCAAAGAATGTGAGATGGAGCTTTGAAGTCCTAGCTTCCAATGAAAAACTTGGTTTAAACCTCTCCAGGACAGACCGATTTGCCTTCTATGTAGAAAAACCATTAAAGGAACATTTCAAAATAAACGAAGACATCTTTAATGTAATAATATAGTAATGTCGTTGTTGTTATATGCTGTTGGGTCACCTGTAAACCATAGTGACTCTATGTACAACAGCCCTAAACCCTGCTCTATACTTTGCCAATCTCACTGTATCCGACACACCTATCCCCTTTACCTCAGTTACTGAATCAATCCACCTCACAGACGGTCTTCCTCTCCTGCTCTGTTCCTCCACCCTCCCGAGCATGATGTCCTTCTCTCCAATTACTGGTCCCTCCTTGAAACATGTCCAAAGTAAAAACTGTAATATTTTTCAACAAATGAATGGATAGAGAAGCTGTGGTATATTCACACAATGGAATACTATGCTGCATTGAAATACCAGGAACTCATGACATAGTCAAAATGTGTGACCCTGGAGGACATTATGCTGAGTGAAGTATCTCAGTCACAAAAGGACAAATACTGCATGGTGCTACTGTTGGAAAGCAGGACTGACCTCGGGGTTGAGAGGAGACTGAGAAGGATGGGTTTAATAATGTATACTGCATTTAAACAGATGAGGGAGAGAACTATTTAAGAGGGAAAATATTAGGGATTTTTGTCATG